ATCTCTAGTCTGGTCGGGCCGTAAAACATTTAATAACAACCGAATCGGTTTTTTGATATGCCAAGCAGACATTACTTCGGCCAACAACCCTCAAAATTGGGAGTTTAAAATAAAAAAGAAATACTTGGCAATTGAATGCATTGAATCATTTAAAAGTAACAAGCGAGGAAGAAAGTTTAAAGCACCAAAGTGGCACTTTGTCGCCTTTTATGTTTACTTGAACTGACCGCACAAAGATCCTTGCGAAATCATTCCGAATGTTTCTTTTGTATTGGCATGGATCTCCCCTCGAAGGAAGTTGAGTTAAGTTTGCTGTCCCTTTTTTATGGCCAAACTGGACGCACATAAATTTTCCTACTCGTCTCACATGTGTCGTGAACATTTTCCCACAGTTTTCCAAGGCGGGGGAGGGAATCAAAAAGGAATTATTCTTGACCCATCGGAGGGGTGAAATTTGGGAGTGTTTCCGAATTCCCTTTCGTATAATTTCCATTTAGTGTTTAAGCCAACACCTCAAAGGACCCGCAAAAGGGTCCCAGAACTGACGAAGATGAATACTCCATTTGATTTGCATACGGTTTGGATTGAGGTTCGGGCCCAGACAAAAGCCTTTTCACTTGCTGACAGCAAATGGCTGACCTAACGAACCATAAATTAAACACGCTTTTGATGTCTTGGCCGGACTAGAATGTTTATTTACTTTAGTTTCCAGGACAATGTTTATCCTTAAAACTCGATTATAATGAAACCAACCTAAAAATAAATACCTTTTTTGGGAAGTCTTTGGTACATATGATTGAACTGGGAAATTAATTGTGCTGCCCAGGGGTGGTAGATGGCTGAAAGTGCTAAACAATTTGCATAAATTACGGTGGACCAAGGCACACATCTCCCCGGCAATAAATTCAAGTCAGACGCCAGGCTTAAGTCATCAAAATGGTAACACCACAAAGAAAAATTGCCGGACAGATGAAATGAATAGGAAAAGTTTTCGGGTAAAATCAAAAAAGGAAACAAAAATTGGAATGACCAAATGTGATCACAAAAAGTATACGAAGCTTTTTTGTAGACATTCTTTTTATAATTTAGCACCATAAAATAACCTTTTTTATTTGGTTTCTGAAAGGTGACACAATTTAATTTATAATAAGAATTTTACGACTTCAACAGAAACTATTGAATGAAATACTACAAATACTTTTCAGGCCACCAACTGTACCCAAAGCATTGGTATAATTACTCATCCCCGTAAAAAAGTTTGGCAACTCCGCCGCTTGGAAAAGAAATGTTTGGATCTGCCAAATGAATTATGCTGCAAATGCCTCGTTATTAATTAGACTCATTTGCCACTCGAGCTCAGTCGGAGATTGTAACCATGAAGACACCTTAATTAAATGTCTGTCTGCGGTGGATGAGTTCCAGATTTAACCACAGAGTCAAAGTTTTTCGACCATCCCGAGGGTGGTTGTGCCTCATTGTCGTTGCTGCTTTGTTTTTTGGCAAAATATTTTGCATATGAGAGTTTTTCGGCTGTACCCTGATGATTGGGTTCTTGTCCCTGGAGATTTGTCATTTTCATTTCCATAAATCAATTTGTTAATTAGTGCGGCACTTTTGGTTGCCCGATGCAGACAATGGAGGCGATTAGCCATCATATTTCGGTAAATGAGAATAAGAATTTTAATGGTGTGAGGTAATTATTCTTGGCAAATTTCCTTATAAATTTTCTGTAAAGAATTATAACAATAACAAGCATTTTATAAGCTATCTGTGACACACACCACTAAACTTATTTAAATGAAACGAAGCATATATAAGCCGCAATATTTATTACACCAGCAGGGAACAATCCGAACGCCAACCTGTTTATTTGATTTTCCACCTCACATAAAAGAGAGAGCAAATAAACAAATAAAGCTGCCCAGGCAATCAACAATCGAATCTTTAATCCCATTTAGTTTGCGCATCGAACTAAAATTACTTCAATTTATTTTGATGGTCAGTATAAAGGAAAAATGCGTAAATATCAGGAAATATAAATATTTTATACGTCATCTGAATGGAAAAGCTTTAAACTGCAAGCAAACTTTAAGGTGCCACTTTATCCACTTTATGGCTGAGAAAGAGATGGGAATAAATAAAAAGAGAGATAGAGAGAGAGAGAGAGAAGGAAGCCGAAGATGTGGCAGCCATTTAATGTCACTTGGGCGCAACCATCAAGCATAAAGCTCTTGTATCCTTGCAGCTACTTGAAAAATAACAGTTTACACAAGAAAGCAAAACAAAACAAAACAGAACAGAGCCCACCCATAAATGCAGAATGGGGAACCACATGTGAAGTGTCCTGGCTTTGACTTTGACTTGAGGTGCATCCTCCAAAGTGCGGCAAAGTGAAATGCATTTCAGCAACAATTGTTGCCAGCTGTAAATAAACACGACCTGCCACGCCCCTCTGACATGGATGGCAAACAAAAAAAAAGCAAACACTGCAATGATAATAAGGTATATAATTTAATATCAATCTGACAGCCAGAAGGCAACAAAGTGCCCCAACGACGAAATCGACCCCGCGTTGTAAGCTACTTTTTTGTTCTACCCGTAATGTAAGGTAAATACCCTATAATAGCTATTAACGATGAGCTGATATCGATCGGCAATAAGTGGGATTCAATAGAGAGACTTAACGAATTTAATCGGGAAATGGCAAAGGTAAGACGGGCACTGAATTTAAAAAGGTTTTATAATGTGGTCTCTTAAAAAAAATTGGATTTGACTTAGTTTTTTTTTGTAAAATTAAAAAAAAAGAAAGACTCCTTTTAGTTTGTTTCTTAAATTAACATAAGTTAAAATAATGGTAAATGGAACTTTAAATTAAATACTTCAAATTAAATTAAATTTTAATTTATATGGAATTTTTAAAAATGGAAAAACTTTTTAAAACAATTTTTTTGAATAAAAATAACATTTTGTGTTTTAATTGTGTACTGTTAAAATGTTACATTATATTATATTTCTTAAATCTTAATAAAACAAATCCGATTATACGGTTCTATAAAAATAGCAAAAAATTTCATGTGTGCCTATAAAACGAATGGATAATACTGAATAATTAGGGTCACGGTTAATCTTCCAATGATCTCCGCAGAATCAAGCATACTTGATTGGGAATATAAAGGCGTGCCAGGATAATTTTTTGCCTTTAATAAAAAGGGTATCCCTTTATGCAGCTCTCTAAAACTCACTTTCTGGGAGCTGCTCCCTTGTCATTTTTTCCAACAGTCTTGTTTTGTTGTTCGTGCGCTGCACATGCCCCGGCGCACTTCACTTTTATACGTATACCTATACTTGCATTGTCTGTCTGTCTGGAGGTACTCAAATGCTACTCTTTCGATGCGATGCGTTTCTTCCTTTGGATCCCATTTTTTGCTCCTTTTTCTTTTTCTTTTTCCCTTTTTTGTTTGCTAACTAAATAAATGCAGTTTGTGTGTGCGCCTGCACTTGTTGTTTGTGTTGAGCCAAGCAGAACATTTCCATTTGAATGTTCTTTTAAGCGAAAACAATTCTTTTCTTTGTTTTGCTTTTGAGAATCCCTTTTTGTGAATTTTACAGGTATATGTAAGTGATATGCCCAACCCCATGGATTTTGCTGGAGTGTTTAGCAAATTAGATCATGGATTTTTCCTCTGATTTCTTGGGGTTATCATCGCACGAATGTCATTATCGGACCCCGCCCACTCACCTGAACGCGCTCAAAGGTAATATCCTTTTGTTGTGCATTCTTTCGTATATTTTCCCTTAAAGTTCTTCGGTTGGATTTTATTTTACATTTTTTATGCACCAACTATAAAAAAGTTTTTACATTTTTTTACGGCACTTATTTCTGCTTTCTTTCTTATTCTGGTGCTACTGCTTCTCACCCATTTTATTCTGCGGGTAACAAAGGAAGTTTTTTTGACGGCAAGTGCATTATATTTTGGACTTACGGCGAGAAGTTGATTATGTTGATTTGTGGAATTGATTTGCCAGAGAGTAAAAAGGGGGCTTGTATCAAGGAACCCCAACAGACACTCCTCTTTACTATAAAATATTCTTGGCATGTGGTGAGCAAAAGTTTACCGATTGTTCTTAAGGTCATACGGAATTGTAATAACGTGAAATTGGTTGTTTTTAAGCTATGAAAAGAGGGATCTAGAACTTTAAGCAGTCAGGCTTAGTACAAATAATGTATGTATTTAAACAGCTTAATCCCACAGAAAAATTAAAAAGCTCTTTAAAGATATGTTTACAAAAAATAATTGATAGAGGAATTGCGACATGAAAATTGGTCAAGGACATATCTAAGCAAAATCAAAAGAAAAGTTAAAGTCAAGGCCAAAAGAAAAGTCTAACACACCAGTTCGAAAATTTCCCCTTCGTATTTTTCAATATTTCAAATTATAAACTAACTATTTAAGTTTCTTAAAAAAATTAGTTAAGCAAATATATAATACGATTTAATAATGTTACGCCTTAATTTTGTATTTTAAAAAAACTTAAATTGGCCAAGTTACAATTTCCAATTCGAAAAAAGAAACGAAGATTACCCCTCAAAGTTCGAAGGCGAATGGATATGTCAAGGCCAACCCACATCCGAAATTTGAAATGGGAGTTTCTGTTTCGAAAACTTTCCTTTCTTAATTCGAAAAACCCCTTAAAATTCGAACTGCAAACGTAATGTTAGAGTAAATAACGTAGTGGATAGCACGTATACGTAACATGCCACAAGTGTGACTCTCTCGATTTCCTTTGAGGAAACGTTTACTGCACGTGATGAAAGTAGCTCGACATAACGGCACAGATATAGACGGAGAGAGAGAGAGAGGGAGAATCAGGGAAAGAAAGGGAGGGAAGATGGGGAAGAGAGCGATTGAGAGAGTGAAATGAGGGTGGCTAATTCACCCGCCGTTTCCCGGGTATAAATACGGGTGTCCTGCGAGCTGAGCTCCTCAGTCGAACGACAACTCGCCAAGAGTTCAGATCTGGAAAAGCAGGAAAATCCTGACATAATCAGCAAATTTATAAAGTGACATTTTTACGTATAAAATGGCTATTCCATTTTTCGAAGAAGAGCACTCCGCAAAGTCTGAACCGAGTGGCGATCAAGTGGATGGTCCTATGGCATTCTCAATAGATCCTGGACACGACCAGGTGGACTTCGAAGGTCCTCCGTCTGCAGCCGAGGAAATCCCCCAGCCAGCAGCAACAAGTGAGCCAGTTCCACCTCCGAGCACCGAGGAGCAACTGTTGGCCTGGAAATTCCTGGCCATCACCATGTGCAAGGTACTGAAGCAGTTTTACCAACACCACAAGGCACCCGGAAAATCCAGCAAACTAATGGCCACCGTTCAAATTCAACCGCAGGCGCAGTAAAAACTTTGGAAAACACAATTAACACCAACTAAGGCTCCTAAAAGCGCAACTTGTGATTTCTTTACGTTGGTGAGAACTAGCGCAGCCCATGAAAATTTTTGAGAGAGAAAGAGCGAGACAGTGACAGAGAAATGTGAATCAATTTCCCAAGGAAAAACCCAGAAAAGAATAGTTTTTATATATGTACTTTCTTTGTTGGAAATTATTCCTGCCCATAGTTTCTTAATTGCCGTCGGTATACAAAAAAAAAAACCCTAAACTTTGGATAAGCGCAAATGTGATAAATAATTTTGCTAAAAATATTTCCAGTCCAAGTAATTGTTTAGTAAACTTATTTAACTTAATTTTACTAATTTAACTGAATAAGTTAGGTTCTCTTAGAAGGTCGGCCCAGTGCAAACAAAAATGGAAAAAGTACGAAAAAAAATTGGAAAATTGAAAAGAAGAAAATTAATACTAAATTTTATAAGCAGCAGCTAGTTTTCAAATCGAAACCAACTTAGTTGATAAGCCAAACTATTCTATATTCTATATCTACAAATAGTTACGACAAACTTTTTACAAACAACTCTCTTGGTGTCTATTTATGGGGAAAATTTTAATGTTTCAAATTCCTAGGTAGAATGCTTCTTCAACTTAGCAAATAGTTATTGAAATATATTTTTAAAAATTCCAAAACATATATCTATATTTTTATATTTACTTTGCCATCGATGTATAAGCTGTGTGTGTGTCAATTTAGTTATTAAATCTTAACTTATAAGCAATATGTGGCTAAGACTCTATGCGGAATAAACCGGAGAAGAGACGCATTTTCGCGTCACGAGCATAAACATAGTACAAGTTCAAAAGTAGAAATATTTACATAAATAACCCAAACTACACTTTCCTTTAAGTAATTTAAATGTAAGCTAAGTAAAAGAAAACGTATGCATACAAAATGAAATAAAAATATTACTAAATTTACACTGCATTTTTTAAATGATTAGGGGGTGAAATAAACTTTCTATGTATCAGAACATTTATTTTCAGAACCCCCTCAATTTTTCTGACAAGAAATCATTTACATGGAAACCATTATTTTTAGTTTTTTAAAATTATTTCCGAAATATTTCTTTAAAAAAATTGATTTGGAATTGTTTTGATTTTTAGTTTGGTCCCTTTAAATAGATCAGCAACAGTTTAAATCAAACTTAATAATGCCGTTTGAAAAGTCAACTTATTAAACAAATACAACTTTATTTGTTTCTGAAAATATAGAGCTTTTGTTAAAAAAACTTAGATACTTCATTAGCTTACAACCATAATCTACCTAGCTCATCGTTAAACATACTTTGCCTCCTCAAACGAAGTACCGCCGTTGAAAGTATGAAAATGGCTACCAGCGGCAGAGATCAAAGCCGTTTGTCACACAAAGGACACTGAATTATTCCTCATATTCCCTCATCCCGACTTTCCGGATTCATACAATCGATGCGGAAAAATGTCGCGTGGCGCCACCCAACCAACTTATAAATATGCCTTTGGGCAGGGCTTGGAAAAAAAGCAGACGACAGAAATCTTTCAACTTTCGATTTTTAATACGCTTTGTATAAGGCAAATAATACTGGAGAAAGGATGCTGATGCTAAGCTGCTTTTTTAATTTTCTAAAATCCAAATAGAGAATTCGTTTTAAGCGCCGTCCACCGAAGCCATCAATCACTGGTCGGACGCATCTATAATAATATCAATCAGGGCAAAAACTGGCAAAGAACAAATACCATTTGCCAAATAAACTGTTCCCCAGCCCCTAAAGACGATTTAAAATTTTTTTTTTGATATTTTCGTTCCAGGCAGATAAGCAGAAGCCAAAGGATTTCCCAATTTTTGTTGTTTGGTTTGAGAAATGCGCATTATGGGAACGGCTAACTGTCTGAATTCAATCAAATGTCCCCCCGGGAATTTGCACTTGTGTTTGCCTTAGCGTCCACACATGATATCATATCCTTCATCCTTCAGCACCCTTTCTCCGGGAGAAAGCGGTGAAAGTCTGAAGTGCATGTGTGTGTTTTGCGTGCGTCCAGCTAGGTTTTAAGAACGGGATGGAGTTGGAATGGTAAAGTGACCCGTAAACAAACAGTTTTAGATTTTTTTTCCTACAAGCAACAGATTTAAGTGGATTTTTTATAGGGTATCTGAAGAAAAAAATCGAACGAAGTTAAGAATTAAACATTTTATAAACATAACTAACATATAATTTAAAAATTATTTGTTTAGAGTATGTTACATGGTCTAATAAAAAACTATTTTTGTTATGTTTAACCTCTTCTCAATTTTAAGGAAAATGGGCATAAATAAATAAAAACAGTTTTTTTATACAATATTATGTTAGTAAATGAATACATAATTCTTCAATACTTCGCAGTACCTACTTTTTTAAACAATCTTCTCGGAATTACATATCTTTAAAAGTTATTTTTATGGTTTAACCTCAATAGAAGTTATAAGAATTTCCACAGTACAAATTAATCTATTCCAATCTCATTAAAAAAAATCTTCTTAAGCAAACATTCATATCATCAAGCATATACTTAGGTATCTAGCTATTTGAGTGCCTTTCGAGGCATTTTTAACTTAATTGAAAGTACACAAACTTACTAAGCAAATCAATCGGGTTTTCTCGTTTTTTCGCTTCTGTCCCGGGGGTAAAGAATGTTTGCAAAACTCAAAGGGAACTTGAAAATGTATAAAACAAGATTATTAAAAATAAATTAGAGTTGGCTTTGCTCTAATAAAAGGGGCTACCGGTGGTTCAGGTTTATTTCGGCGAGCTCTGTTGGTTTTTATTGCAGAACGTGCTCAAGTGCGGATTCATTGCAATTTGGTTGTTCTTTGGGTTGGATTTGTGGTCATCATTAGTGTGCTTTATTAAGTGGAAATAGAAGTAGCAACTCTCGCTGGGTAGCTTTAAGGGCAAAGTCTTTAATCCCCACTCTCAAGGTCGCCCTTTGAGCAAAAACTGCATATGTTGCATCTTTGAGCACGTTTCGCTTGCAATTGCATATGCTGAACGGGAAAAACACGAATGCTAAAACTAGGGGAGCCTAGAATCGGGGCAAATTTGTTTACATCTCTTGTTTATAATATTGCAAAAGGGTTGAATGCACAAATCTGGGTCAAGGTGAAGAAGCATTCCAAAGTGCACTCAGCAAACCTAAATTGAATGTGAGACTGCAACTGGTTTTTCTTTTTTTTTTGAAAGATGTAGCAGCTTGCAATACTACAAAAAAAAAGTGTGTCAAATGCTTGTTAGTGGGTTTGAGAGGTAACTTCAAAGAGCAAACAAAGGAGAATTTTTTAAGGAAAAAAGCTAGTTGATTACTCCTTGCCCAGAGAAGATTGAACATTCAAGATATTTAACCTAATATTAATAATTGATAATTACAGCCAAAATTTGTCAACCCAAAACCGTAATTTAAAGCATTGAATCATATTTTTGGATATTTAGTTCTTTATAATTCATTAACATTTCTGTCACCCTTTATATTATCATTTCTCAAATTGGTAGAATGTTGTAACGTTACAATGTTGTATAAAATAACTATACTACATATTTTTATTTCCCATAACAATTTAGCTATAATAATTTGTAATTTTTCTTAACTCAAAGCATTTAGTATATAAAACAGAGATATTTCTTATAAAAATATATGTATTTCAAATATGTGTGTATAAGTGAAGGCAAGTAAGTCCCACAACAGTCTGGATTTTGTCACCCACTCTATTTGATTTCGATTTCAAGGACTGACATTGGTTGCACTTCATCATTACAATTAATACAGAAAATGCAGCAGATCAAAGTGCGAATGTAAAGTGGGGGGAAGTGGGCGGAAAATGGGGAAAGCGCGGACAAAAGGCGCGAAAGACAAAAGGCGGCGACAGTCAAAAGGCAAAAACAACAACCACAAGTTGCCTTTGCCAAGTCAAAGGTAATGACAGAAGCCAAACAATTGAAAAGTTGTAACAAACAGCAGACAGAGAGGGCAAATGGCAAATGAGCGAGAGGGATGCTGACGGAAAGCAAAAACAATGAGGCTTCGTTAGCTTTGACAACAGAAGCAAAAAAAAATCCATGTCTCTATAAAATTCTTAAAAAATCACACGAAAAAAGATGGCAAGTATTTGTCAAAGCAAAAAAAATAAAAATAAACAAAAAAACTTGGCAAGCAATTTTCTGGCAATATATTTTCCACTTTTGACCAAACTTTTCACGCGTTTTTTGATGTTTTCCCCATCGCAAGAGTGCAAAAATAACAAGCAAAAATTGCGCAGAAATATTTAATGAGGCCAAAGTGCAAAAGCAGTGTAAAAAAGCAAGCCAGCCAACAAAAAATCTAATTTAATAATCAAATAAAAAGCTGGTCAAGGGAGCGGTCTCAAGGGAAAAGTAAAGAAAATGGGAAAGCGGGAAACAGAGCTATGCAAATGCCGCAAATAAAGAGGAAAAAATGGGAATCGCATAACTTGAGCGATTTGACAAATTTACGAGTGAGTTTAGCGGACTAATCATAAGAGATATCTTTTTCCCCTCTTCAAAAAAAAAACCCGCAGGCCAGAATTAACAGTAAAAGTGGGGGTAAAGTTGGGGAGGAAAACCAGCGATGAGCTGGGAAAATGCTTTCCACTGCGATGACAACGCTTTTGCTTTTTCTGCCGCCAGCAAAGTTTTTTCCTTTTGGTTTATACTCTACTGCAAAGAGCACACTTATCAGCATGGTAAGTCTGTTGTTATATCAAATATTTTCAAAATATTATTTTGTCAGCTATAACAATATTAAAAGGTAGATTAAATTAGTTTTGTTTAAATTGTATCAAAAATATTAAAAATGAAAACCAAACAACAGAAACATTTTATAGTGTTTTTAAAACTATTTAAGTTATTTATATTATTATTGATCTACATTTGTTTTAGTTTTATGCGCCTTTAAAACTCAAATTTTTTTTATTCAAGAGTATTGCTTAGTCAGATTTATGTAGTCGAATTTTCCTCTTTATTGTCATAATTTTTCCAGTTTTTATTGAGCATGGACAAAAAAACCGCCGAGAAAAAGGAAAATCTCTTGCACATAATTTTAATGTTTATCGTCTTTTATTGTCAAACAAATTATTTTTGATATTTCTGCTACAGGCGATGCTGCCGCCTCCCCTCGAATTCAGGCAGGTGATTCCGTCTGGGAAATGATTCAGCTGCTGAGGGTAACCAAGGAGAATTGGTACACACATATCTTGTAATTTGATTAGCATGTGGCAGGACCTGGAAAAAAGGAAAGCTGGGTGAGGTCGGAAAAATAATAATCATAAAGAAAATCCCGAAACGACATGCTGATCTCTATCGGGCGAAAGTCAAAACAATTTAATGCATGAATAAAAAATAATTTCCTTGCGAGGACATCCTGCTGCGGAGTTTTATTGGATTTCTGGCCAGAATGAAGTTCATATGTGCATTTGACTGTGACAAAACCCCAAAAGCCCAACCCAAGTCTTTTATCTCTCCTTGTATTTATCTCCTGCCTTTCATATCTCCATGTCTTAATACGCACATATTTGATTATTTATCCAACATTAAAAGGAAGTTTGAAAAAAAAAACCATCAAACACACACACGCAGCCATTTTGCATATGAATTAAAACGCCATAAATTAGCAAAGAGCGTTTTTGCCAATTGAACTGTTTGTCCTTTTCAATGGAAGAGGGAAGGATGTCGCACAGGAAGCTTTTGTTTGCCTTGCTAATGCTTCCAAGTCTCGCCGGTTGCCGTGGATTAATTCAAAGCCGAACGGAAAATGGAAAATGGAAAACGAAAGCAAGAGCTCTTAATAAGCTGATTTGTTATTTATGATGTTTTCCTAATGATTCTCAAATTTTCGTTTAGAATTTT